CATGTTTTCATCCAGTATGAGTTTTTAAATGTCTTTTCAAATTACCTTTCTGATAAAACTGTTTTAAACAAATATCACACTTGAAAGGTTTTAGTCCAGTGTGAATATTTGTATGTGTATCCAAATAATTTTTATATATAAACTGTTTAAAACAAATTTCACACTTGTATGGTTTTTCTCCAGTGTGCGATCTCATATGCTGTTTCAAATGACTTGCAGTGATCGACTGCTTGAAACAAATTTCGCACTTGTGAGGTTTTTCTCCAGTGTGCGATCTCAAATGTGATTTTAAATAAGCTTTTTGGCTAAACTGTTTAAAACAAATTTGACACTTGTAAGGTTTTTTTATAATGTGCGCTCGCAAATGATTTTCCAATGTTCGTTTGTGACAAAACTGCTTGAAACACATGTGACACTTGTGGGGTTTTTCTTCAGTATGCGTAAGCAAATGATTTTTCAACATCTCAGTTCTAGAAAACTGCTTAAAACAAATTTCACACTTGTAAGGTTTTTCTCCAGTGTGCAATACCATATGTTGTTTCATATGTCCTAGTTGGGAAAAATGTTTAAAACAAATTTTGCATTCGTAAGGTTTTTCTCCCGTGTGAAGCATCATGTGTTTGTTTAACGAACTTCTCCGGGTAAATTGTTTAAAACAAATTTCGCATTTGTAAGCTTTTTCTTCTGTGTGCACTCTCGAATGTGTTTTTAAATTACTCGAATGACTAAAATGCTTAAAACACATTTCGCACTTGTAAGGCTTTTCTCCTGTGTGCACTCTCAAATGCTTTTTCAAACTTCCCGATTCAGTAAATTTCATAGAACAAATTTCGCACATGTAAGATTTTTCTCCGCTGTGAATTTTCATGTGTTTGCGTAACGAACTTCTACTGGCAAGTTGCTTAAAACAAATTTCACATTTTATTGTTTGTTCTTCAATAGGTGGACGTATACGTTGTTCTTTATTACGTGAGCGTACAAGTATGGTTGTCATAGTTTCCGATGTGTTCTCGTCAATAAAACCTAAAATAAAAACTAGGATACATATTTTTTAATTTCAGAAAAATTGAATGCAACAATAGAGAAAATTTTGACAACTCAATACGTATTGATTGACAGAAGTACACTAAATTTGGCACAATTTAAATGTTATGATCTCCAATAGTGTTGCCCAAAATCGGTCTTGGTCTTGCAGTCTTGGTCTTGTTCTTGCGTTTTTGCAAGACCGAGACCAAGACCAAGACTGCCTAATTTTTGCAAGACCAAGACCAAGACTAACCGTGCAAGACTTGAGCAAGAACAAGACTAAGCCTGCGAGACTCTTGCGTCTTGCAGTTAGGACTGAGTGTGGTTTGAAGGAGTATAATAGTTCGGGTTTATGCTTAGAGACTCTATGAGACACAAAGAAGTATTAACAAAAGTTTGGAAAATTTGACTTGTTCATTACGAAAAATACCATAAACATACATAGCGAATCAAAATGTCCATTACAAGAACACTTAAAAATTTGACACGTACTCAGAGGTCATAATTACAATCTAAAAATAAAATATTTTGTACATTCTTTCCCAGCACACTCCTTCTTCGCTCTGAAATTAATTGTCCAGATTATGAGAATAGCCCCTTCTAATTATAAAATAATATCTTTGCTTTGCGACGCCGACAGTAATATCGTATCGAAACTTTTAAAAAATGTGTCACCTTAGCTGATAAAAAATATAATTAGGTTAGCATATTTTTTTCTTATAATTTAGTTACGAGGAATTTAAATACCACAAATCTTATCGGCCTAAGACTAAATATCTATTTTGCTGAGTATTTAAAATTTGCTGAAATAATGCGGCTACTATTCAAAAGTAACGAGATAAACAAAGAGATAATGCCGATTACAGTATAAACAAAATACCCATATATTTAAAGTAACCAACTAACTATAATAAGTCTCGGTTTTGTATTCGGTACTTCGAGTATTTGATAGTAATGAGTATAAAGTAACAAGTAGTTACTTTTTCAACATCACTACTTTATTCTCAATCAAGCTTTCTCTAATGCAATAATTGTTTTTTATCTAGTCCTTGTTGTTCTCGGTGATCAGTGAGAAGTTTACAATTTGACATGGGTGACGAATTTGACATGAGTGATTCAAATAGTTCTATAGTCGGAGTAATGAGAGTTGAAGTCATAGATCTAAAGGACCTAAAAGCAAATTTGATGAGTTTTTGGTGGTCTCTTTATACTGCTTTAATAAGTGAATTATAGTTTTTTATTTTATCACCTAAAAAATCTGCACCCTTGATACATGTATGTGGATTTTTTGCCAGATACCAATCTTTTTTAAGATTTTCATTTCATATACGATGGAAGGTCCATCAATCCCTTTCTAGGCAGATAATGTTTAAAATACAGTCAAGTTTATGTCATTAATTTGTTTTTTTTTGTGTTTTAACCATGTTTCAGCGCATGTAAGCCTATTAAATAATGCAAACGTTTATTGAGAAACATATTGACTTGCGTGGGGCATAGTAGATAGCTGAGTTAATTAGAGCATAGGCACGGATCGCTTAGATCTGTGCCTATGCTTCAAACCCTACTCGGTGTCAGTTGTTTAGACATATATTAATTTTGTTGGTCTTTATTATGGCTATGGTTATTCAAGCTTAAAATGTACTTGCTCTGTTACGTTGTTCTATGATCTAAAGGAACGTTTTATAAATAGTAATAGGCTAATGGGTAATTGCAAGACCTGCAAGACTTGCAAGACTCTTGCTGCAAGACCAAGACCAAGACCGGGAGTGCAATACCAAGACCAAGACCAGGTGTATTAGCGCAAGACCAAGACTGTCTAAGTCTCGTCTTGGTCTTGCATTTGGGCAACACTAATCTCCAAAATATGGTAAAAAATGAAATTAATGATGACAGCATAGTCAACTAAACTACATTTGAGTGCAAAATAATCGACTCAAAATCATTTTGCGAAAGTACGTCTCCTGTTTCAATCTAAAAATATTTTGTGTACAATCATTAACCTCATTATTGAGTTTTAAAAAATGTTGTTTTTTGATGAATTGGATGACGCATTACAAATAAATAATGCAACACGTAGAGAGGGTGTCAGAATTTGACGCATTGAAATCCACACGCACCGACTTAACGTGTTCGGTTAAAATCGTACGCATCAATTTCCATAGCAACCCACTAATACTTCAGTCATCAGTCACTTAAGTTCGCAACTGCGTTACAAATGGATACCAATCCGCCAACGCAACTCAAGCAGTAGCATTATTGAGAGAAGGTCTGAGTGCATCGTCGGTACCAAGATACTGCTGATTATATCCGTTGACAAGGAGGAGGCCATAAACGAATAACGACGGAGAGAGATGATCGATTTATTGTATCGAAATCCCAGAAATCGACATTTGAGTGGTGCTAAACTCAAAGAAGAGGTTACCAGCGTTTGGGCAGTCAGGAGGAGACTAAAGACAGCCAACCTGACACCAAAAACGGCAGCGACGAATCCCAAGCTAACTGCAGCCCAGAAGCAAAGGCGATTAGAATTTGCTCGCGAACATCTGCATTGGGACGACTATCAATGGAGTCAGGTATTATTCTCTGATGAAAGCAGGATCTGCCTACATGGCAACGACAAGAGGCGTTGAGTCTATGGAAGGCCAGGAGAGCGATTTGCTCAATTTTGTATACGAAAAATTTCTTGTATATTTTGGGCAGGCAGTTCTATTGATGGGAAAACCGAGTTGATTTTCGTGCCTGGTGAAGGAAGTGGAGAAGGTTTAACGGCGGATCGTAACATCAGAGACATTTTGGAGAAACATGTGGTTTCATACGCCGGATTTATTAGTGATGCCTTTATTTTAATGCAAGATGCCATATCCCCGGTTGGTGAGTCCGCTAAACCACGTGTAATTCAAAATTTACATCCATCGTCCCTCCTCGTATTCTACAGATCACAAAAATCAGCATGGATGAGCGCTGAACTATTCAAAGAATGGTTTGAGCGTGAATTTATTCCGAGAGTAACACGCCATCTTAAGAGCGTGTTACTCTGTGAGACAGGTGACATAAAAAAATTATCTTTCTTCCTCCTAATGTGACAAGTTTGGTACAACCGATGGATCAAGGGGCGATTGAATGCTTGAAAAGACGAGACAGACGTAAATTACTGTCCGAAATTTTACAACGCGCAGAGGGCGAAGTGAAGATCTCAATTTTATTGATACCATCAAAAAAGTTAATTTAAAGGACGAAATTTACATGTTAGCTTCCGCCTTCCAAAAAATTCCTGCTTCTACTTTCGTTAAGTCTTAGCGAAAACTTTTGGCCAACATTGAGGAACTTGTTCAGTGTCAACAATCACACGACGAAGATAATTCTACCACCATTCTTCAAAATTTCCAAATGTTATCCGAAAATGTCCAATTGCAGGACGAAGATATTGAAGAATGGATGAACTGTGACGAGGAACTTGAAAACGAATTTTGATGATGATGATGTTGACGGAGAGGAAAAGGTCGGCCACACCGAAGCGAAGGCTGCAATGGAGGTGGCATTGAAGTATATTGAACAACAACCTGGGTCATATTCAATAGACGTCTTGGTTTTTAAAAAATGGAGAGATATAGCTTTTAAAAATTCACTTAATGTCCAGAAACAGAAGAAAGTTACCGATTTTGTAAAACAAATTTGTAAAATATTTAAATATATGTGTATGTAGTATGTACATAGAAATAAATAGTGTTTTTCAACTGTATACTCAGTAATATTTATTAATATACACCTTCCTATACCTGTGTTTGATACATGTATGTATGTACTTAATTTTTCTCATGAAAATGCCTGCACATCGGATTAACTGGCCAGTCTCTGGTCCCGAGGTGGCTGGTTAAGAAGAAGTCTACTGTACAAACTTTTTGTTTTCTGAATCATTTTAGTAATAAATATGTTAGTTTTGTATAATATAATGAAATACGTTTATTGTTTAAATTGATTTATTGTTTTTTCAATACAATTGTCTGAGTTAAAACTATTTTTCGAAGCCCTTTTCCATTGAAGAATTCTGAAAATTGAGTGTAAAACTGTACCACACTTTTTGGCCAAGAACAAATATAATTCTTAATAAAAAAAAATCAATTTCAGATACTTGTCCAAGAAATGATTTGCATGACTATACTTCCCAGGTTTTTATCGAGTATGAATTCTCAAATGTGTTTTTAAATTATGATTCCGATAAAACTGTTTAAAACAAATTTCACACTTGTAAAGTTTTTGTCCTGTGTGAACTCGCGTATGTTCATCCAAAGAACTTTTATAAGTAAACTGCTTAAAACAAATTTCACACTTATAAGGTTTTTCCCCAGTGTGCAATCTCAAATGCCTTCTTAGATTACTCGCATCACTAAACTGCTTAACACAATTTTCGCACTTGTAAGGGTTTTGACCAGTGTGAATTCTTGTATGTTCAGTCAAAGTGCTTTTATAAGTAAACTGCTTCAAACAAATTTCACACTTGTAAGGTTTTTCTCCAGTGTGAGTTCTCAAATGTCTTTCCAAACTACCTGCCTGAGAAAACTGTTTTAAACAAATATGACACGTGACTTGTTTTTCTCCAGTGTGAGTTCTCAAATGCCTCTCCAAATTACCCTTCCATGAAAACTGCTTAAAACAAATTTCGCACTTATAAGGAATCTCTCCAGTGTGAATTCGTAAATGAAGTTTTAAATAACTTTGCTGAGAAAATTGTTTTAAACAAATATCACACTTGACTGGTTTTTCCCCAGTATGAATTCTCAAATGTCTATCCAAGTTACCCTTCCCACAAAACTGCTTAAAACAAATGTCACACTTGGTCTGAGCTGTTTTTTCAGTGTGTGTCATCAAATGTCTTTTCAATCGAACTTTTTGAGAAAACTGCTTAAAACAAATTTCACACTTGTAAGTTTTTTGTCCAGCATGAACTCTTTTATGTTCATCAAAAGTTTCAGATTTTAATGTTTTTTCTTGCACATGTTGGTCCATATGGTGTTCTTTATTATATGAACGAACATGCATTCTTTTTGTTGTATCCGACTTGTTCCCCTCTTCGAGAAAGTCTAAAATGAAAACTAGAATAGATATTTTTGTTTTATTGAAGGAAAATGTTTCATTTAATGAAACAACGGAAAATTAAAAAAAATTGTATTATCTATTAACTGAAGTACTACACATCAAATATAGCTTGAGACTTGGTCTTTTTGATATTATACTCCACCTCCGATGCACAGTAGACAGAAACAAAATTCAACATTATTATTTCTAGATTGCTGAAAACGTAATGTGCTTGTACAGTATGCATCAAAAATTATTGTTTTTCATTTTAATAATTTTAGACTAGCCCAAGCACAGATATCCTCCTGCAGACAACAAAGATTGCATAGTCAGAAATCAAATAGACTATATATTAGTCAAAAATAGATACAAAAACTCAATTAAAACAGTAAAAGCTTACCCCAGAGCAGATGTGAACTCAGACCACAACCCGCTGATAGCTAGAATGCACGTGAAACTCAAAAAGTGATGTAAGCCTTGATAAAAATATGTGTCTACAAGAGCACTGTATTTATTAGTTGTAGTATCATGACTATGTCAATACTATATTAATTTCTAACTGAAGCACATTCCTGTGATTTACATTTCCATATTTCAGATTCCTAATGCATATCTCTGTACTAGTACTCAACAACTTGTATCACAAAAGGAGCAAATGAAAACATCATACTAAGACACAAAGAAAAAATCAGGTTTTAATATATGAAATACCTTAATGTATTGAAATAACTGTGGAATAAAAAAGAACTATAAAAATAAGTTCACCCTATATATTTTTATTATTTATCTCACCTGAGTTATCTTTATTCTCCAAGTCTCCAAGATCAAGAGAAGTGGACAGCTGATTCTCTATATATCTTGGATCCTCAATCAACTCTTCCTTAATTTCAGCTTTTACTGTCCCATCTTAAAAGATTTGAATCACATTTAACTGTTTAGTACTAATTATTATCATCTTACCTAGCTTATACTCAACTGGATCATTCTTCAAGTCTCTCAGATCAAGAGAGGTGAATACCTGACTCTCTATATATCTTGGATAACCTTCGACAAACTCTTCTTTAATTTCAGCTTTCACACTCTTAGCTAATAAAAAATACGAATTACATCCCATTGTTTAGTACTAGTTTTTATTACTTGTGTTACCTGAGTTAGTTTCTGATTCAGTATTTAAGTCCTCAAGATCGGTTAATGTGGACAGCTGATTCTTTACGTTTCTTTGAACATATTCAATAGACTCTTCCTTAATTTCGATATTAGATTCCATAGCAGCCATCGAGTTAGAATATAGCAGCCAAATAAAATGAAATCTACCAATTTTTTTTATTATAATCAATGGCAACAATTGTGGGATATCAACACCACAGAATAATAAACAATCTTGTTTATTATTCTGTGTCAACACTATAGTGTTTAAAGAAGTTTGAATGTAGTAATCTGGTTGAATAATAGTTTAGACTAGGCATAATATAATACAAACCACAAAAGACTTTAGGGCCAAATATCGTATATCCAAATTTTTATGGCAATATAGAGACACAGTATGTTGTCTATACTGTGATAGAGAGATATCGCAATGTCAAACCACAGTATAAATAACAACTGTTGTCTATACTGTGGTCAAACGTTATTTATTTCTCTATGGTTTATACGTCAAGAGTACTCAAGAAGAAGGAAGAAAGTTATCAAGTGAAAGAAGCCCTTATCCGTTAACAATCCGTTAACATTAACGTAACGTAACATTCACTATGCGCTTGCGTACATACTTGCGATATCTCTCTAATGAACGAATGAACATAACCTCTATTTCTCTCATCTATGTCACAAACCTCTGTATATTGTGGTATATTTTATATATATGTATAATAATTATATATATACTGTACTCTACTCGTAATCATTCTCATCTGAATATGGATATTATGGAAGGTAAAGTTAAACTTAAGAAAGAGTATGACCAAAATGATATAGAGCTATCCACATCAGCAGATCTAGAAGATTTGAAAAATGAAACAGGGGAAGATTACCCAGGTAAGAAGAAAAAAACGCCTTTGCCCCCATCATCTGAACTGAATCTGTGAGTTACTATAAGTGTACTATAAAATAAAAGTTTACCCAATTTATAAAAAGTATTCTTTGGTCGTAGTTGAGCATGAGGGTAGGACACCGAAACTAAATGGGTTCTTATTTACTTAATGATTAATGTACAATGCTTTTTGGCATACAATATATAAAAATAACAACACAATTACACTAGGAGTTAAATTTGGAATGTAAAAAGTTCAGTGATGTATTATCAAACATTGGCTAATAAGTCAAAATTTTAATATGGCATCCTATCCAATTTTATAGCCTTGAGTCGATTTTTTGATTGAATGTAATTATGTTTAATAGATGGACACAAATTCTTGCATTCACCAATGATATCGTTAAAGTGGTCAAAATTTACAAACGCTGCAAGTGAACTAATACTTGTAAACGAGGAAGAAACCAAAAACAAAATGTTGGTTGCATAAAACCTTCAAAATGTTCAACAGAAAATCCAAATTAACAACTATATATAACCAAGATATTCACTCATTTAGTTAATTTCTTGGTGGTGTAAGCCGCTTTAATAAGCAGCTCTATGTTAATTGAAGACCAGCAAAATGCTGAATGTAGGAGATTAGGCAATAAGAGAATTTCTTTAGGAAATATTGTGACATAAGAGATTTCCTTTATATCTAATAACTAATTACATTAATAAATAAACTTCATACTATGTAGGTACAGTCCTTTTTCAATAGGTGACACCAAAAGTTCAAATTATCAAAAAGGTTTACAAGGATTTCTCATGAGAGGATCATTACATCAAATTCAGTAATGCCAATGATTAAAAGTCGATTATTCTCATACACAAAAAATGTGAAACTGATCACACTGCACTGTCATAGAGTACTTTTTTCAATTTGTGGGTTTATACACTTATGTTAGAATGTTGATGTTACAATGTTTTAAGATTAAGATTATAATGTGAATTTTGCAAAATATTCTTATTTAGTTTCTTTAGATATGGAAGGTAAAGTGGAAATTAAGAAAGAATTTGAAGAGTCTGACCAAAATGATAAAGAGCTATCCACATCAATAGATCTGGAAGATTTAAAAAATGATACAGGGGAAGATTACCCAGGTAAGAAAAAAGGTTTATTTTATATCATATTTAAGTATAGTGTGTATAAAAAAACAGGGCTCATTAAATTTCCATATTTCATCATTATCATGTTTGTTATAGTAGGTATAATATAGTAATATATACATAATAATATAGTAAACATTATGTTTACTGTAAAATAAAAGTTAAATTACACAGTTATATAATTAACAGTAGTTAAATATCAATCAACCTCAAAGGATGTCATTAGCAATTGCTCCCAAAAAACTGTTGTGTTTTACAAGTAAATATTAACAATTAATTTATAAAGTTATATCAAGATATGCATAATTAGTACAAGGTATATAAAGATCATCTTCATTTTTTGTAAAAATAATTTGTGTAATAATTTGTAAATTGTAATAACTGCAATGAGAGGTTTATAGCTTTAGTTTTTATCTTTCAAACAAAAACTTGAAATAATTAGGACAAATTGATAGTGATAGATAAGTAATTACCATCTACCAGTGACGTGACTTATATTTATTAAAGGGTTTACGGTTTTCATTCTGTTGAATATTCAATATTCAATAGCACCAATAAAAAGATCCCCAATAAAAAGATGGCGTCCGATAAGGATGATCGCGAGAGTGAGAGCGAAAAAACCAAGTTTACTTGTTGCAAAACTAAGAAAATAAGCACAATAATAAGTGTGGAAAAGCCTTTCATAAATCATGCACTGCACAGGATTGGGCCGGAAAACTTCAAATTTTAGATGAAAAGCGTGTGATTTGTTGTGATTCTAACATAAACTTAAATAGTGGGGATGGCATAAAAAATATGATCATTCATCTGCTAAATGAACTAATTTGTGAGTTAAAAAGTGTTCTTCTTCTTCCTACTAATATATAGGCTTTCAAGCCTGTTTCTTCTTCAATAATAGCCTCATAAATTGAGCATCTTGTTCTTGGTCTGTGAAAAGTAATAAGAGTTAAAAAGTAAAAATCAAATTTTAGAGGAAAATAATAAGCTCATATGGGAAAAAATAGAAAGCATAGAGAAAAAGTTAACAAAAAATTCCATGGAGGTAAAAAATGCTGCAAAAACTAAACATAACAATAACAATCCATTAATTTTAAAAGAACAAATTGATTTAAAAGAGACTACAAGGTCAGTTGACGCAGTCACAGAACAGCCAATTCGTTCTGTTGATTTGTCTGAGCTGCCACCTAAACCAAGAATATCAAGCAGTTCAATTGCACCTGTGACGCTTGTAAAAGATACAAATGTTACATTGTTTATTAAATGTGTGTTCATTTTTGTTTCTGTTTTCTATTTTTGATGTAAATTTTTCCTTGTAAAAAAAATAAGGTTGGGTTTTATTTTAGGTTGCCTTCAGAAGGACAACAGTTATAAGAAAATTATGAAAACTAAAAATGAAAAGTATAACACTATTTTCACTAAAGAAACAACAGTTAATACGAATATGAAATTTAAGACCGGCCAAAGACCCTACATGTGTCACATTTGTTTAAAGCAGTTTTCTCGAACACATCATATGAAAACACATTTGATGACACACACTGGAGAAAAACCTTACAAGTGCGAAATTTGCTTAAAGCAGTTTTCTCAACTAGTACATATGAAGCGACATATGGGAATACACACTGGAGAAAAACCCTACGAGTGCGAAATTTGTTTTAAGCGGTTTACTGGAAAAGGTGGTTTAAAAATACATTCGACATCGCACACTGGTGAAAAACCTTATAACTGCGAAATTTGTTTTAAGCAGTTTACTCAATTAAGTAATTTGAAAACACATTTGAGAGTGCATACTGGAGAAAAACCTAACAAGTGTGACATTTGTTTTAAACAGTTTAGCGATGCAAGTAAGTTGAAAAGGCATTTGAGAGTGCATACTGGAGAAAAACCTTACCAGTGTGAAATTTGTTTTAAGCAGTTTACTGAAAAAGGTAGTTTAAAAATACATTTGACATCGCACACTGGAGAAAAACCTTATAAGTGCGAAATTTGTTTTAATAAGTATACTACAGGAAGTACTTTGAAACAACATATGAAATTGCATACTGGGGAAAAACCTTACAAGTGTGACATTTGTTTTAAGCAGTTTAGCGATACAAGTAACTTTAAAAGGCATTTGAGGTTTCACACTGGAGAAAAACCTTACCAGTGTGAAATTTGTTTAAGGCAGTTTGCCTATAAACAATATTTGGATAAACATACGAAAGTTCACACTGGGGAAAAATCTTAGTGTAAAATTTGCTTTAAACAATATTCTCGAAAAAACAGTATGCAAAGACATTTGCTAGTACACACAGTGAAAAAAAAAACAATGTAAAATTTAGTTCAACGACTTGAAAAAAAATTGTCCACTTAACAATTTTTTCTTAAACTTCACAATATAAAGTGTGCTTCAACTGTAGTGGCGGAAATTTCTCATCAAACCTCACCAAACAAGGAAGGAAGTTAAAGATACACACAATTTATTAAACAATGATATTAGATTAAATTTTTGGCAATATTGTACTCCATTTTAATACATATTATTATAATTTATCACATACATATATTGTATGTATGTGAAACCATAGAAACATATTACAGATTATAGTGTTAATAAATATTAATTACAAAGATTGTTTTAACTTTAACACCTTTATTATTTATATTATTACTCACTTAAATGTCACAAAGTTAAATAGAAGAATATACCAAATGATTGTCATAAAGTAAAGAAATAAGTTTTGTTTTGCAACTTCATTTTTTATTTGCGCCCAAACCATTTCTATAGGATTCAACTCTCTGGATGATGGTTTTAAAGAAACATGTCCACATTATTGCAGCACTTTGTCAAATTTATAGTGAATATGATCTTGTTTGTGTCGTGTGATGATTTCATACAATTGCGGTTTTAACATTGACGTTACAAATGGTAAATTTTTTCTGTCAACCAATATATCATCCTTTTTTTTAGAATTACTGGTTTGTGCTTTATTAATTTATACATTATGATATGACGTATTCTCAGTAACGACAGCAGATCCAACAGGCAAATTGGGGATTAACTGTTCTTTCATCCATTTTTAATAATTTTCTGAATTAATGTCATCATGATAATCTCCTGTTTTAAGCACCGCTATAAACAAAACTACTACAACTTGAAAATAAGTAGAAAATAAGAGTCCTACAACAGACAAAGCAATCAAAGACAAAGAGCCGATACTATATCGTATAACAACGATTAGTTAAACACTGAGATTGCAAAAACTGTTTAGTATATAGTAGATTAGTATATACTAAGATATTAAATAATACTAGATAATTTAATTTTGAACCATTAACAAAATTGTAATAAGTATATGATGACAAGTATTTGCTGGTAACATGATCTTTACAGATATCGCCACCGTTGTATATATTTCTTTGTCGATACCAGTCTTTATATAACATGAATTATTTTTCAATATATTGCATATCGCTAAAATAACATTGCAAAGGCATAACTTGAATTATTTATAGTCGGACAATTTTCAATTAAAGGTGATTAATCTACAAATTGAACTAAACGGTAGCGGCAACCATGTAAAATTTCATTAGTAAATTTTTACCGGCGTCATTTTTATTGTGTATGCTTCTTCCATGTAAATAAGCTAGAAAGTAAGATAAATTTGCCCCCTAACGATATAAATTGGTGCGATTCACGAGTGTATAGTGAGACAAGTTCATTAAATAGTTTGAATCATCGGCAAACTTATCAATATTTTGCTGGTCTATATATATTTACGTTCTTAGAAAGATTGTTAATGAGATAAATATGAAATCTTAGTTTATTCCTTCCAGATTATATACATATGTGCATAGGCGTAGTGTGTTCTTGGGAATATATTTATTAAATAGACTTTATTATTAACTTTAAAATAGTTTTGAGGTCAGTAAAGTAAATTTGAGGCTAAAATAGTATTAAAGCCTTAACGGCCGCTCAATATAAATTAGGACTAATTTACAACCAAAAAGATTTTTTTCTCATTTTTAAGGAAAACAGTACACTTTTTAATAAAGGAACATATTGTATCGTTAAACGTAAATTAAATTTTAAGGTGAAAATTTTCGAAACATTCGGGGTGTAGATGCATTCTGCACTTTTTACATAAATAAATAGTAATACTTTTGTACATCCTACATTTTTGCACTATCGTCTCTTTTTGTAATGTGGCCAATATTGTCGAATTTGGTTTTATCGGGTAAAGCAAATTTAGATTGACGTCCATGTACTAAGTGACACTGATGTAGCGGTTTCTTCACTATTATAAATTAAAATTATAAATCTATGTCGGCTCATGCTTTCTCTTATAATATGCACTTCTTTATCCTCATCCTTTGACCAATTCATATCAACTTGAAGCAGAGTGTAAACCAGATAATATACATATGCTAATAATTTTTATTTAAATCTATGTTATTCATTTCAAAATTGTGACGGTTATTCTGGGATGCATAAATATTTGTAAAAATTACTTTTTTATCAGAAAGAGTGAAAAAGAGTTGGCTTTTTTATTGTCTAAATATCAATCAGACTGATGTTGAATTACTACTGAGCACGAATGAATATCTGTTATTACAACTTGAGATAAATTTGGATTTACTATTTTTGCCTGGTTTTTTCTTTGGACGTTTTATATTTGGTGCAGAGGAATATCATAATCAGAATCGTCAGCATTCCCAATCACTTGTATTTCATATGTACCTGCAATATCCGATTTTATTGATTCTTCACAAATAATATTATCATCAATGTCTTCAAGGAATATCATAATATACCAGCAAACAAAAATGGGAAAGATACCTGACGGAACTGTTAAAGCGATGGAAGATAATAATCAACACAATAACGTACCTGAATTAAGACACGAAATAAAAATCAGTTTTCAGGAAGTAGAAATAGTCATAAATTCACTCAAAAATAGAAAGTCACCAGGATCAGACGAAATAACCAACGAGCTTCTAAAATACGGAGGAGA